AGTTTACATCATCAATAGGTAACCTATCCTTCTGACCTCTAGTACCCGCTGAGAATATTGTAGTGCAGTGGCCCTCATTGTCTACTTTGCATTTCATTAATGTTATTTATCTTGTCTCAGTTACACAATTCTTTAGCTGAAATATCAGATCCAAGATCTTAGAAGGTACTGAGGCCATGAAGAAGGCTACAATTCAACTGGTAAAAATCAGTTCTTACCTTTTCACGCTTCACTGAATCTTATTTCTTTAAAGCCTCTTCAAAGAGAGGTTTTAATGCTTGTTGAGAGTACTCCTTGTTTCTGGGATAATTGTGCCTTCAGTGGGAACATTGTACTCCTTCCCCAGCAGCTACTAAAGGCCGGAGTGTCACTGAACTAGGTCATACATGAATCCTTTGCCTATAACTTGCAATTCCTGCCAGCGATCAGGTTAGATATCTCCATGTACCTCAGGAAATACAGCCTATCTATTATATCCATTGTCTGGGGTGGGCAATCTTTTGCCCCAAGGAGCCCTTTGTGTGGTCCCTGAGCCCCTTGGGGGAGTTTCCTGCCAATGGGGAGTGGAAAATCCAAGAAAACTGTAATATAAACTCTGAAATAGTTTAAAATTGAGAAAGAAATTAGACTTTCCAAACTTCTCTTGATAAACAGCCCCTCCCCCGTGTTTGATATGGTCCCCATCACTTCATGGCTACTAAAGGATTGTTTACTCCTACTGCATATGAGATGCATTTTCCATGTTCTCTGGGAATTTCAAAGAGGTTTATTGCTCTCATAGTAGAAAAGATCCAGGTAACTGTGGAATTGTTTAGCTGTGCTCATTAGGCTTGACAGATAATTTCATTTCATTTCATTTCCCCCCTTATTTATTACTTCAACTCTTATTTTCAGGCAATCAGAGCAATTATTTTCTAATCATGCAAGAGAAATACAAAACAACTTATTAGCAGTAAAATAAGTATTTTCAACTCCTCTGGTGATATTGCAAAAAGTATTTATGAAGACTTACATTTTAATATACTCAGTTCTCTTTGCACAAACACATTCCAGGTATTTTTGCAACTGAAAGCAAAGGGAACAACAAACCAGGAGAACTAGATTCAAATAATCTTTTGGGGCCTTTGTTTCTCTTCTGTTTCAGTAAAAGTTTAGGATGCCCTCTCTCAAGTTCTCTCTCCACAAAAGGAGACCCTGAGTGAAATTTTACCTTGAATACAAATCTCTCACTCCTTGTTGATCTTGTCAAAATAAAACTGATAATTATATTTACAGAAAAAAGAATTTACATGTTATATAAAACAAATTTGCCTGCATGACAGATTAATTTACATAAAACAATCAAATGTACTGAACCTTATTTGCATCTTGCAAATCCCAGTTTCCAACGCTTGCTACCAATGGAGCATCTTCGACTCATCTTCCAAAAAATATCCTGGTTCTCAGTCTCTGATTGCAACACCAGCAAAGTGATCTGTCATTCTGAGGGGTTTTCTCGTCTGAGAAGTTCCTTTGGGAAAGGGAGCCACCACAGCTGGGGCAGAGAGTTCAACAGAAGACACAAAATGCAAGTGAAGAAAGGCAGAATCACACCCTCCACAGCACGGTGTAATCACAACATCAGGCAGAGAAAGAGAAGCAGCAAAAGGGGGAGAGGCTAGGTGGGGCTCACCTTCCTAGCCAATCGTGGCTGAGCCCTGGCTCCTCTGAGCTGGAGGCAGAGAGGAACTTGATTCCTTCTCCCTGTGCCCTGTATCCTTCTTCATGGCCTCAGTACCTTCTAAGCTCCAGTTCTTGGATTTGATATTTCAGCTAAAGAATTGTGTAACTGAGACAAGATAAATAACATTAATGAAATGCAAAGTAGACAATGAGGGCCACTGCACTACAATATTCTCAGCAGGTACTAGAGGTCAGAAGGATAGGTTACCTATTGATGATGTAAACTTAAGTGCCCCTCTCTGTACTCCTTAAACCTAGTAAAGGTGAGTTCCAGTTCGTGCAAAGGACTGCACTCACATTTCTGTGTACAAAATGTGATTTGTTTGAATCCTAGACTGAAATAGCCCTATCTAGATCATTCTATCTGAGCATTTTTGGCTGCATTCCAGCGGAACAAAATTTGAAACAGCTCTAGTGTTGTGTGATCTGTTGGAATAAAACTCAAAATATTTTGA